AGGCTTCAACATTACAGGAGCCCAGAACTTCCAGATATACACGGTATATTTAGAAAAGGCAGAGGAACCAGAGATCAAATTGCCAACATCTGTTGGATCATCGAAAAAGCAAGAGAGTTTCAGAAAACCATCTACTTCTGCTTTACTGACTACACCGAAGCCGTTGACTGTGTGGATCACAACAAACTGTGGAAAATTCTTAAAGAGATGGGAATACCAGACCACTTTACCTGCCTCCTGAGAAACCTGTATGCCGGTCAAGAAGCAGCAGTAGAACCAGACGTAATAGTGAACTGGTTCAAAACTGGGAAGGAGTACCTCATGGCTGTATATTGTCACCCTGTTTATTTAATTTATTGAAAGATTACATCCTGTAAACTGCCAGGCTGGATGAATCACAAACTGGAATCAGCGTTGCAGGAGAAATATCAGCAGCCTCACATATGCAGATGGGACCACCTAATGGCAGGAAGTGAAGAGGAACTAAAGAGTCTTGATGAAGGTGTAAGAGAAGAGAGAAAAGGCTGGCTTAGAACTCAGCGTTCAAAAATGAAGATTATGGCCTGCAGTCCCATCACTTCATTGCAAATAGATGTGGGGGATACGGAAACAGTGACAGATTTTATTTTCTTGGGATCCAAAATCGCTGAGAATGGTGACTGCAGCCATGAAATTAAAAGATGCTTGCTCCTTGGGAAAAAACACACGTAAAACAGCATGTTAAAAAGCAGAGACATCACTTTGCTGACAAAAGTCCTTATAGTCAAGGCTATGGTTTTTCCAGTAGTCACGTATGGATGTGAGAGCTGGACCATAAAGATCGCTGAGCACCAAAGAATTGATGCTTTTGGGTGTTTTTGCTTTTTTTCCCCACTATATATGTTCTCTTTATCTTATGTCAGTTGTATTACCTCAATAACTAGGGTTTTTTTGTTTGTTTTTTTTAAATTTTTTTTTTAATTGATGCTTTTGAACTGTGGTGTTGCAGACGATCTTGAGAGTCCCTTGGATGGCAAGGAGATCAAACCAGTCAGTCCTGAAGGAAATCAACCCTGAATAGTCACTGGAAGGACTGACCCTGAAGCTGAAGCTCCAGTACTTTGGCCCCCTGATGCAAAGAACCGGTTTCATTGGAAAAGATCCTGAGGCTTGGAAAGATTGAAGGCAGGAGGAGAAAGGGGATACAGAGGATGAGATGGTTGAATGGCATCATCAGCCAGTGGACTTGTGTTTGAGCGAACTTCAGGAGATAATGAAGGACAGGGAAGCCTGGCGTGTTGCCTTCATGGGGTCGAAAAGAGTCAGATATGACTGCATGACAGAACAACAACAATATTTAGGGATGGAGCTAGTTAACATAGCTGTGCTCTGATTTTGGATGTTTAACGCATGAAATCTGTGATTTTCATTTCATTTGTCTTTTTAGGTTTGAATTCTCGGGAAGTACTCGTTGTCAAGAACTGCACATTTAACTGCACATTTGTGTATAGTGCCGAACAGCCTCCAGAAGCCCCCAGAAGAAAGACGACTCATAGACTTAACAGTTTTTATTGGGTTAATTGTTGCGGTGGGAACATGTGCAATTTCCAAGGACCTAGTAATCTGGAGAGGGACATCATAGGAGATTACACACTTGAAGAGGATATCGAAGATAATGCGCAGTTGGTGCAGTCAGCTTTGTTCCTGAGCATCGTCTCCATTCTAGTCAGAAACACGCTGACCTGAGAAGCCCCCTTTGGAGGGGCTGATCATCTCCCCATCTCTCCAAGTTAGCTGTCCTTTACTCTCCTGTCAGCCACACTCACAAGAACACACTCTCTTGTGTCCTTTAGTATTACTCTCCCTGACCCCTAGAGCCCCCGGTTGATGAGTTCCCCGTTTAGCACCTGTTGCAGGAGAGAAATAAACACCAGACTCGTTCAGGTACTGTGAACTCAGAGATTTCTTTGTGGTTTTAATGTTTGATCTTTCTTCCCCTCAGTAGGTGTCACCTCACACATAGTCAACAACCTCTTGCCACTTTAGGGAGCAGAGGTGGAGTATTTTAATAACAGAAAAAGCATCACAGGGCCTAGTCTACATGCCCACCTAAAGAGTGGCCCCAGGTTCGCTCAGACCACATGCCCCTGAGGCACCCGAGCCTGCACGCTCCCAGTGTTCAGGTGGGGACGGCGGAAGTCCAGAGTGTGCTTGGCGATGCAGTGGAATGAGGACAGGCAGAGCTGCCATGGAGACTGTGCATCGCCCTGCATGGTGCCGTCAGACACCTTCTGCAGGACTCGAGCCGTCTCCCACGGTGGCGCCTGGCTTCCTAAGAGTGACAGAACGTTTCTCCAGATGCTGCCTACTTAGGAGGGTGAGGGCCCTAAGGCCAGCTTCTGACTGCCTTCAAGTGGCAGGTGCAGAAGTCCAGGCGACTGCTGTCACGCTCCGTGCTCCCAAGGTCAGTATCAGAAAAAGGTGTTGATGGAACAGAAACTCAGACCATCTTTGCTCTCTTCCTCCTCCTACTCCTTTCAGTCAACCTGTATTGAAATGAATGAGATAAAACAGTGCATCAAATTCATATTTTAACAGCACTTGCTGCCACGTTTAAGAATCTTTCGCCAAATTCAGGATCATGAAGAGCTCACTTCGGGTATTCTTCTGAGGCTTTTACACTGTTAGCTCTTATGATTAAGTCTCTGGGCATTTGAGTCGGTTCTTGTCTGAGTGAGATAAAGGTCCAACTTCTTTTTACCCCACGTGGCTAGAAAGTTGTCCCAGCAACATTCCTCGAAAACAGATGCTCCCTGTTGAATGGCCTTAGCCGCTCTGTAAAAACTCAAGTGACCACAGACGTATCATTTCATTTCTGGACTCTCAGTTCCGGTCCATTGGTCTGTCTGTGCTTGTGCCAGTACCATCCTGACTTGAACAGGTTTGCTCTGCAGTAAGCTTAGAAATCTGCACACGGGAATCCTCCTGCCTTGTCGTTCTTTTTTAGGATTACACTGGCTATCTAGGTTCTTTGCATTCCATGTGAATCTCAGAATCAACTTGGCACTTCCTACACAGGAGAACATGGACTTTTCAGAGCACGCGTGCGTGCCCAGTTGTTTCAGTCGTGTCCGACTCTTTGCGACCGTATGAACTGTAGCCCGTCAGGCTCCTCTGTCCATGGGATTCTCCAGGCAAGAATGCTGGGCTGGTTGCCATGCCCTCCTCTAGGGGATCTTCCCAGACCAGGGAATTAACTTGCATCTCCTGCATTGCAGATGGATTCTTTACCCCTGAGCTGCTAGGGAAGCCCGGAAATTTCACTGGGATTACATCAAATCTGGAGAGTGATGTAAGGAGAATTGTCCTGGTAGCAATATGCTATCTTCTGATCCAGGGATGCAGGAGGCTTTACAACGGTAGCCATCTTTCATTTCTTCAGTGGTGCTTTGTGGTTTTCCCAGGAAGGATTTGAACATCTGTTGCTGAACTCATTCCTAGGTGTGTCCCTCTTTTTGACACTCTTGTAAATGGAATGGGTTTCCTTCGTCATCACAAGTGAACAGAAATGCAATAGATTTTTATACCCTGCACTTGGATCTTGAAATATTGCTGCACAGCTTTATTTGAAATAATCCTTTGAAGTGATTTCCTTAGGATAGTCTAAACAAGATCATCTGATCCATCCCTAGAGACAGTTGTCCTTCCTCTTCAGCCTGGATGACTTCTGGTTGCCAAAGTGCTCTGGTAGAACCTCCAGGACTGGGCTGACTGGCAGTGGTGAGAGCAGAGATCCTGTTCCTGGTCTGAGGAGGAAAACAGCCTGTTTTTCACAATGAAGTATGGGGCTAGCCCTGAGTTCTCCATAGATGGCCTTGTTCCACTCCTGGTTTGTGCCCTATCTCTTAGCACAACAATGGTATTGAATTTGGTTAAATGCTCCTCTGTGTCTATAGAGGGAGGTGGGGAGGATGTGAATTTTCTTTTCTATGCTACGAATGGGGTCATTGTCCTCTTACCATGATCGGACCTTTGGATATTGATAAGCACGTGTTAAGTGATCAATGAAAGTGGATACTTAGTCATTTGAAACTGGCCCGCAATCCGACTGGTGTCCGGGATTCTACAAGCACCTAAGACCCCTCTTGCAAGGTAGGCAACTCCTCCTGCAAGAAAGCTGAGCAACGTTTTGACAGTTGTGGGATGTTTGGTCATCCCCCAGGACAGCCACAGACAGAAAGCTTCCAGACACCAACTGTCTGCTTAAATGAGCCACTGAGGGTCCTCGGGTTCAAGCAAGGTTCCTGAGCTGATACTCTGAAAATCCCCCGACTCCAGCAACTCCCCACAATCCAGAACATGTAGACAGTGCATTTCTGTGCTTGTAAAAGGGCAGGATGTCTTCAGGACCCGGAAGCAACCAACCCGGGACCAGGAGCAGGGAGGAGGGAGCACGGAAGCCAGTACAGCGCCTCCAGGGGAGGCTTGGGTCCAAGCCACCGAGCCTGATGGTCTGCTGGCCCCAGTTCCCAGGGAAAGACGAAGCACAGGACAAAAGTAAGATTAGACATTGCAACTGGAACCCCGTGGAGAGGCAAGGCTTTTAAAAGAAGCTGAACTTGAAATACCGGTCAGCTGCATGCAGTTTTCAATGTATTTACTTTTAACTGGAGGACAATTGCTGTCCACTGTTGTGCTGGCTTCTGCCAGACCTCAGCATGGATCAGCCACAGGTTTACATGGCCCCCTCCCCCTTGACCCCCCCCTTTCTCTCCTCTCCAGGCTGTCACAGAGCCCCATGCGGAGGCGAGGCCTTGAAAACACTACACCAGCACTGCAAACCGCCCTCAGCACTGTCAGGCGCTGAGCAGCGAGCTGAGCTTTGCAAGGTGGGATGAGGACGGGCCCCCGAATCCCCGTTCCCTCCCGAGAACCGAGACAAGGCCCTCAGGGTGGCCTACGATGTACCCTACTCACGCCCCAGAGGCGACCTGGGGCTGGGCAATGAACACAGAGTGGCTCTAGGAAAGCGACAGCCCCTGGGCAAGGGACGACACGGCCTCAAACCAGACCTCGGCGGCACAGGGAACATAGAGGGCGTTCCGGTTCTTGGCATCGGGCTTCTTTAAGGCACTACCACTGCTACAGTGAAAGACACGCAGAGGCGTGGGAATCACGAGGATCACACGGAAGACTGTCGAGGCAGTAATAACCAGGCAGGTTGTCAGAAAGAGCCGGACGGAGCCCCACACTGGAAGACACGGGAAATTCCAAGCTGGATAAAGGAAAAGGGACCCCGCCATAGACTTGAAAGAGGAAATCTGGAGAAACAGGGAAATCCAGGAGAGGATCAGGAAAGCAGCCTTTTTTCATGCTTTGCAATTGCAGGGTCTGGCCTGCTGCCCTCCAGGCCTCCTCTTCTGTGTGGTCCCTGCAATCTCAGCGAAAGCCCTCCTTCTCCAGGAAGCCTTCCTAGAGCAGGCACATGCCTGGCTCGCCCTCTCTCACGTTATGGCTGTGTTACAGCCCCCAGCTCAGGGAGTGTCTCCACCACACGCCTGCGCCTCTGCTCAGGGCCTGAGTGCCTGGCCTTCAAAAACGCCCACAGAGACGCTGGCAGAGGGAGGCTCATTCTAGAGGCACGACGCTTCGGCTGCACTGCACAACCTGGACCCGGCCAGCTCCCTGGTCTGGCTTCCCTGCCTCCTGAGATGGGGGCCTGTGGCTGAGCCTGCTGCTGGGGTGTCTGCAGACTGGCAGGTGCCCTGGCTCCACACACACCTCCCCTCTGGGCCCCCTCCAGGCCTGGAGGCTTCTTCTGTGAGGGAGGAGGCCGAGCCCCTGGGAGCGGGCCCAGCTTGCTCTCACCACTCCAGGGTGGGCAAGGCCTCTGCTATGCTACCCGCCCGCTCCCCTCCCCTCACAGCCCCTGCCCCTCATGGCAGAATCCAATCGTGCCTCTGCTGGTATTCCCCACACAGGGCCCAGTGCCCGTGGGGGGCTGTGGGAGGGGAGACGTGCACACCGCCGGCAGTCCCCTCCGAGCCTCAGCAGGCGCCACCCTCCCTCTTCTGGCCGTGCAGGGAGGGTCCCCAGGTAACGGTACACCCCAGGTAAGGGTCCCCTTACCCAGCTCCAGGGCACACAGGTTGCCCAGGCACGGGCCCAATCCGGAGCCGGTGGGCACCCTCTCCCCGCCCACCCAGGTGAGCCACGGGCAGGCTCGCTTTGAGGTCTTCCCCGTTCCACGTGCTCTCTGCACCCAGGCTGTCCAGCCCCTCCCTCCGCACCCCCACCGGCTCTCACAGCAAGAACACGCCACACTTGTGCCTGTGAGCCTCTCGGTAGGCCAGCCAGGGCTCCAGGAGCATCCGCTGGGGGTGACGGCTGTCCGCCTGCTGCGGCCTCTCCACGTCCTCGGGCAGCATCACAAACACCACGTGTCTCCCTCCCACGTCGTACCTGTGGGGCAGAGCTCCGCGGCCTTCTGGGGGACCATGTCCTGCCCTGGGCCCCGATGCACAGAGCCAGGCGCTGGCTCAGAGCCGGCAGGCCCTCCCGCAGTCTCACTGAAGCCTCCCCTCCTCTGGGGTCAGCGTTCTGTACTCCCAACAGTGAACCGCCAGGGCTACAGGTCACCAGGGACCCCTGTCCGCGGCGACCAAGGCGCACACCTGCCCCAAGGAGCCCTCCCCTGGCCCTTCCCCACACCCCGGGTGCCCCCCACCCCCCAGGATGTGGGCGGTGGGATGTGGCACAGCCCTGGCCCAGTGGGATCAGCCACCAGGGAGGACAGAACGTGAGGGTGTTCTCACTGAGGTAAGTGGGCACAGCTTTACCTGAAAATGGGCCCCAGCTCCTGGAAGGTCTGATGCATGTCCAGGTGCATGTTCTCAGAGCCCTGCTCCTTCCATATCTGCAGCATCCGCATCCACTTGTTGCCGGGACACCGGGGCATGGCTTCGAAGGGCAGCACTGCCTGGGGGGCTGCAGCGGCTCTGGTGCCCAGTGGGTGTGCCCCCCACAGGGACAGCCAGGGCCCTGCCATCCATGCTCTGGCCTTTGCCCACAGCACCATCCTTCTGCCCCCCGCCCCCTCAGCCCCTTCCTTTTATCTCACTGGGCCTGCTGGCCCTGGGCGATGTGATCACATCACAGGCCAGACTGGCTCGGGGCCAGACCTGGAAGCCCAGGGCGGCACTCAGGCTGAAGGCCTCCAGCGGCAGGACAGAGATGGATGGCGCCGGGTGCGGCAGTGACGCAGGCCTGCTGGCGGGTGGCTCTTGGGAGCGGGGCAGGGTTGGAACAGGGACCCAAAGGGGCGGCGGTGGGGGCAAGAGGCCCCCTCCCCCTCCAGTGAGGGACAGGCGCAGGATGGACGGGTGCCTTATCTTCGCAAGGGATGAAAGGGGACCTTGGGTATGTTTGTCTGTCTTCCACAAGGACCAGAAGAGGAGCAGTGGGAAAGGCTGGGCCCTCCTCTCCCCCAACCCTGGGTTTTGCCTGCTCTTGCCGCGGCCAGATGCTGTGTCCAGGAGTGGAGGCAGGAGCCAGCCAGGGTCCCTCCCAATGGGGGCTTGCAGTCCCACGGGGGCCCTTAGGGGGATGCAAAGACCCCATTGGCTCACTGGCGGCCAGAGCAGTTTGTGGCCGAGGCCTTGTCTGTCTGGCCAGGCTGATCCAGCTGAGGAGCAGAGAACCCAGAAGACGGGGTCACCGGCAGGGCGGGCGAGGGTGGCCTGCAAGCCCCTCCTCAGTCAGAAAGGTGAGAGGACCCTGCCCCCATGGGGTATGTGCTCAGGGCCCCATCCTTCTTTCTTCCTGGAACATGAGCAGCCCCCAGGGTGGGGAAAGTCTATGACAGGGGCATAGTCGTGGGCCCCCCACCCTCCCAGGGACCCAGGAGGCAGACAGCTGGAGCCCTCCCTCTGCTTGGGGGTCCATAGTTTCAGACGCCGTGTCATCCACCCAGCCCTCGCGCTCTCTCAGGAGGTCAGTGTTGCTGTCTCTGGCCCTGCTTTCAAGCAGGAGACGGACAGCAGGTCTTCAGTTACCCTCCCCAGGCCCACCTTGTGTCAGCGGGGCCCCAGGGCCCTCATGCTTGGGCCTCTGCAGAGGTGCCCAGGAACCCCGGGCCTGATTTGGGGATGGTGCCCTGAAGACACCGCCGTGCAGCCTCTGGAGGTAGGACAGGGAGCGCGTGGGGCTTCTAGTTCAGGGTGGCTGAAGATCTGAGTGTTACATGTCCTTCTACTTTCACTCATTCCCTCTCTTTACACTTCCTTGGGGGATATTCAGCTGTGGCCATGAGTCAGACCTGCCAAGGTCCCTCATCAAGCCGACATGCACAGTGGGCCTCAGCCCTAGGTGGCGTAAGAGCTGTCCTCGGGCTGAGACACAGCCTGGAGCCCCAGCCTGCCCTTGGGGTGCCTCTGCCTCGGCCCAGGCCACCCTGGCCAGCCTCCTGAACCTGTTCCTGCCTGTGTGCCCTCTGCCTGCACTAGCACCAAAGGCTCCTGAACTTGTGCCGAGCTCTCGGTACCTCCTAGACCTCCCAAGCTTGAGAGCAGGGTGCAGGTCCCAGGGGAATCTTCACGCAATGATTCCTCACAAAGGAAGACCCGAGAGCGCTCTCAGGGCCCCTGATCCCCACGTCGCCGAAGGTGGGGCTCTGCCTCCCGCATGGGCCTGGCAGCCCCTCCCCGCAGGCCTCCTCTCGTGCTGAGGGCCAGCCAGCCGGGCTGTCTGCCCTGAGGCACAGTTGTGGGTGAGGACCCAGCCCAGCCCCAGAAGGGGCTGAAAGCCCCTTACAGGGGAGCCCCTGCCCTGATGGTCTCCCCCCGTGGGGCCAGGCCAGGGTCTTGTGGAGAAGAGAACCGCTCAGTGCGCGTCCCAGGGCAAGACCAGTGCCCGGGAGCCCTGGTACCCATATCAGGCTGTACCCATCAGAACCCTTCTCCTCCCCCGCGTGCTGGGTTCTGAATTCTCCACACTTCATCCCTGGCCCTTACTATCCCCACTCCAGGCTCAGAGCCTGTGCCCCAGTAAAGTTCTCAGGCTCCTTCCCCTCTTTCCCTGGGCTGGGGGAGTCAAGCGGAACCCCAGCATTGGCCGAGCCCCTGCCTCAACCTGCCCATGCAGGTAGAGCCCCGGGATCCTCTGGCCCGGATATCTGAACTCTTTGCTGTCCCCTGAGGGGGGTGGACTGAACTCCAATGTGAGCCCAGCCAGGATCAACTGGAGCACCTCCTCGAGGAGGTGGGGGCCCCCTTCTTGATGCACTAGACCTCACAGACCTCAGCATCTGCAAGGTCCATGCTGTTCGAAACAGTCTGTGTGCAACAGAAAAAGATGAGGAATGTGCCAGGATTGCCACTCCTGGGTACATATCTGAGAAAAGTAAACACACTAATTTGGGAAGATGCTAGAACAATTATTTACAGCTGCCAAGATATAGAAGCAGCATGAGTGTCCATCAACAGAGAATTGGATGAGGAAGATGTGGTTAATTCCGTATATATATATATATATATATATATATATATATACACACAAATATACACACACATGTGGATATGTATGAACATTAAGAAATACATATGTATATATATATACATATATAATATATACGCTATATATGATCTATATATGAATATATAGAAAGTGAAAGTGTTAGTCACTCAGTCACATCCGACTCTTTTCCACCCCATGGATTGAGGCCCACCAGGCGAATTCTGCAGGCAAGAATACTGGAGTTATCATGCCCTTCTCCAGGACATCTTCCGAACCTAGGGATCAAATCTAGGTCTCTTGCATTGCAGGAACGTGCATTTACCATCTGAGCCACCAGAACTATGTGGGAAATACTATTCAGCCATAGAGAAGAATGAAATTTTGCCATGTGCAATAATATGAATGCACTTGGAGGCCATTGTGCTAGAGAAGAAGTCATACAGAATAAGACAAATACTGTTGTCACTCATATGCAGAATCTGAAAAATAAAACAAACTTGCAATTACAACAAAAAAGAAACCAACTCACAGATATAGAGAACAAACTAGTGGTTCCCAGTGGGGAGAGGGAAGGAGAGGGGCAGTATAGAGGTGGGGGACTCTTCTGTATACAATAAGCTACAGGGACATATATTGTACAGGATGGAGGATGGAGCCAATATTTTACAGTAACCATGAACGGACTATGCATTTAAAAATTTTCAGTCACTATAACGTACACCTGTAACTGAAGTGGTATCATACATCAACTCCAATTTTCAGAAAGTGGGACATTCACCCTATGGAATTTTATGAGTGACATAAACAAAGGTTTACCTTTCATTCACATACTTAACTCAGTAAGTATGAGCAGAGAGAACATGGCCCTTTGCTTACAATCACACAACTGAATTTCTAACGATTGTGGGCAGAATTACTGCAGGACACACAGTAAGAAGGATGACCGAAAATAGAAGGACTAGCTAGCAAGACAATACTGAATGAATGAGAACACACATCAGAAGTTTGCAACATCGTAATACACTTTGTATCTGGACTGAACTAGACAATCATATGCACCAAAGAAAACTGTTTCAAATAGGATGAGAAGCTGAAGAGTGGAAAGATCCCGTGATGATTACTGTGAAAGGAAACCGGAAAGCAGGTCTGCTGAGGACGTGGAGGTTAATGCCTAGGTTCTAGGGCTCGGTGAAGGCCTGCATGTCCAGAAGGTCTGGGCAGGACACAGGGGCAGGCAAATTTCCAAGAGGTCTGGGCAAGACAGGGTTGGAGGTGGGGGTAGGAAGTTCCAAAGTCTGGGAAGGCTATGGGACTACAGGAAGGATCCAGAGTTCTTGGCAGGAGGCATCTCAAGGAAGGCCCCAGAAGGTCTTCAAAGAACACAGACCCTGGAAACTTCCAGAAGGCCAGGCAGGACATGGGGGAGCAGGGGTGGAAGGGTGTGGTGGAAAATGTCCCAGACGGTCTAAGCCAAAGCCAAGGCCACAGGGAAGGTCAGTAATCTGAGCAAACACAACTGGGAAGATTCCAGAATATGGGGCAAGATATGGTTGCCATGGGGAAACTTCCAGAAGATCTGGGCAGGAAAAGGAGACGAAATATTATAGATGCTCTGGACAAGAGGATGGAAGGGGTAGAGGGGAGTGGGTCAGGGGCTTGCGGAGGGGGGTTGGTCCCCGAAGTTCTGGGCAGAACACGGGGAGTGTCGAATGTTCTACAATGTTGGGCAGGTCAAGGGTGGTGGGGGACTAGAGCCCCAGACTTGGCCTCAGATCAGTGTCGACAGATCCTGGCATTTGACCCTGCTCCCCAGAACAAGGCTGCAGAATCCCACTGACAAAACTCTGCCAGCCGATCCCCAAAGCACTCCCACCCATTGGGTCCCTGGGCTTCCCCAGTCCATCTATCAGCCCCACCCCTGGCTACAGGAACCTCCACCCAACACACAGCAATGCATCCCCATTCCGTTCTCTGCTGTTTCTGTTTTAGACCCCTTGTTTTGGGTTGAATTTGCTGTCACTTTCCTGGTTTTTTGAGTTGAAAAATGAGATCCCTGGTCTGTAGCGTTTCTGCATGCTTGTCTACCTCCTTGTTCTTATCCTGTCAGGTCTGGTTTTGTTCTGTAATACTTTTCTTATCACGTTTCCCAAACAGTTTCTATTTTCTACTGGGAATGATGAGGGTGGGAAGTAGGGAGGGCATTGATACCTGGAATTGTGTTCTTAATTTGCAAACAGGAGAAATGACTCTTTTCTTGCTTAATACAGTTAGGAAAGGTATTCCGAGTTTGAAAATCCCTTCTGGATGCAAAATCTCCATCCTCCTTTCGCTCTCACACATGTTTTCACCTTGAAAGGTTCACACTAGCTGATACGAACGGAGCCCTTTGCACATCTCAATTCACTTACTTCTACTTCGGGCTGTAGTTGTCATCTGTTTTATTTCTAAACGGGGTGAGGAGTCCGTGTGTCTTGTAGTGGTGCTCTCAGGTGGCCTCGACCTGCAGCAGCTTGAAGCAGGGCTTCAGTTACCGGCCAGAGACTGAGGACGGACTGCGCGGTGAGC